ATTTCAATATTGTCAAAATCAATTTTGTGGCCAGATTCTATAGCTTCGTGTTTCGACCTATGGCTGATGATATTTCAAGCTTTTCTAGTTCAACTGGATTTCTGGTGGTCGAACAGAGGCGGCGCTACGGTGTTCATTTTTTCTGATTCCCTTGATTTCTCTCCAGTGATGTTTGTCCGATGTATATCGCATCACATTCCAAGCATTTTATTTTATAGACACAATTAGATATAGAATCTTTAGGGATTTGGTCTTTTATATGGACAAGGTTGTTTCGCAGTGTGTTTGTTGTTTTGAAGAAAACTCTGACATCGAGCTGATTGAGTACTCTTCTGATATTGTCTGACGTCTCCGCTCTATATGGAATGACAACTGTTGAGGTCCATATTTTCGGAACACGTTTCTGACCGTGCTTAATGTCAGTGTTGATTTTGTTGATGAATCAACACGAATGTGATAAGCAATTTCATTATGTGAACACACGCTGTGTTTATAATTCTAAACACTTAGCAAATCCAACAATCTACACGTGGTTTTGTCATCTCAACTATATTGGCCAGTTTGACAACGCAAAAATGACCCCATGCTGAGGAACGATGATTAAGTCGTTATATATAATCCGAGATTTTGTAAATTCTGGTTCAATAATACTTTGATAAAGCTATTAGCATTAACTGGCGAAACGTCAGTAAAATCGGCCAAATCGTTTTGTTTTTCATTCAATGGGAAATACAATAACCTTTATTCTAATGAATATCATATACCCAGTGTCCAAATTTTTTCAAACTGTTAAAAAGCGAACTTGGTTTGGACAGATATAATTCAATAATTTCACCTAATTATTAAAAAAAATAACACGAAGTTTAGCAATTTCATCTACTCCATCAATTTTTTTAGCATAGTTGAATCTATTAATAATAATGGATTCTTCAAATGATTAAATTAGTGAGCATTATATTTCGAAAAGTGATCCCACTCTGTGCCATTAAGAAAGCATATTGTCTTCCCGCTGACAATGGGTGGCAGAGCTTTGCAGCATAGTTGAACACGGGTAATTTTACTTGCACCGAAAATAGGAATAAAGACAACAACACTGATAACGGAAATAGCATACTTCAACCCTTAACAAAAACAACTTTCATGCAATTGGTTTCTGAAAAATCAAGATACAGTTGTCTTCCGAATATTCAATTATTTTCAAGAAGTATAATGGAAAAATCAGTCGCTTTCATGAAGCCATCAAGTAAACGAAAAATTAAACAAGATAACACAGTCAGAGAAAATTTGTCCACATGGACTGAACTGTATTAAAACATTTATTACTGAGGACACCAAAAAACGGTCATCAGTAAAACGCATGTGTCCGAGTGTTACTAAACTGTGACACAACAATCCCATTAGAGAACCATTGGAAAACCTGGGAGTACTGGACAGCTGTTTCGTCCTAGTTTGGGACTCTTCAGCAGTACGCACCCACCGGGATTCGAACCCAGGACCTTCTGGTTACAAGGCGAGCTCGTATACCATTAAGCCACTGGGACCCGATCCACTGGCCAGTCCATGAATTCTAACTTCTGCCAATTCACGACATAGCGTGACCCCTAGCCAATGTCTTCGGCGAGTATTTGTCCTCACATCCGACCTGCTGCACCCTACTGGTCACGACTTCTCACTAGAACCCCAGGAATCCCATATTAGTTTGTTTGTTAGATATATCCCACAGTGAAACAGTATTATTTACTGGAGGACGTTTCGAACAAGCCAAAGTGATATAGTTAGTAGAGAACCTCGTTAAGATATTTTCCAGTTTTATCATAACTGAAAACACTGAAGTTCTAATTTTTCACAGAGACAGTAATATTAGAATGTTACACTTCTGGTATAAACTGCGCCACAACAACCCTAGTGAGGGTCTCACACTTGATAAATGTCTTTCAAAGGTGACCTACTCAGTGATGTCCTTAGGAGGAGAATTTCCACTTCTTTAAGAAGAAATTTCTTTGCGGCAACATTGAGAGTTGTGTTCTCCAGTCGCTCACTGATCTGCAGAAACCCAAAGAACAAGATCTAGCACCTGACCACTTCTACGTGCATATATCAGTTCACCTGTTGCTGTGGAGCCAGGTATATCGGTCGTTCGACGGACATCCCGTCAAAAAGGGTGAAAGAACACTACCCAGCGTTGCTGCAGAAAAAAAGTAGTGGCCGTATAAGGAGTGCGATAATCGAACATCTCGTCATCACTGGTCATTCCATCTCAACAAATGCCTCCTGCTTCAAAGTAATCTACAAATTGAAGAACAACTTGCCAAAGACAATACGTTTCAGTCTTATTTGCATTGCAGAAGCCCTAGCCATTCAGTTGGAAGAACCAGAACTATGAATACAAAAGAAAATTATTCAACCACTTCTACTCTCATGGTAACAACTCCGTTGATTTGACTTAACTTTTGTTTGTATGTTTATTTTTCTAACTACTTAAAACTCTTGCGTAATTCCGTATTTTATTTTGTTTCCATGTACACCCTGAGCACAACTCTTTCATCAAACTGTTCATGCTATTACGTAACTCTTCTTTAACAATCGTTTGTGACAACTCATCACTTTTGTTACTACCTTCTTATATTGACATCCAATTCATCTGAACTTACTAAGTGTATTTTCGTCTGGCAAATTTAATGTACACACACATAAAAAACAACCATATAAATTTGCGATTGTACAGCTATGAAAATGAATTCACCGAGAAGAGGCTCCTTACTGAACTGCTGGTCATCTTGGAGGGAAAAATTTCGTTAACCTCAGTTACGTAATTATTTGTTAAAGTTATCCAGATTTCGTTTGTACAAGAGGTGGCTACAATAGCTTAGCAGTTGAGCCTTAAGTAGAATGCGATGCACTTCCTGGATTCCACTGATAGTCCTGATCCGCTGTGTAACTTTAGCGGATTCATGAATTCAACTAGTTGGTATCTTTTTAGACGTACATCATTAGAACAGCAGATAGTGAGCATATATGCATATATTACGAGACTTAAAAAACCCTTTAAAATCACAGAATACCTCTCTGGGTAACACACCAATTGTGCTTCTATACAACAACAATTGTAGCTATTTCTATGAAGCATGAATTAGTACATTTCAAAAGTACTAAAACTGTGAGTGATCATATTGAAACTGCTGCAAGAGAAATATTGTTTGAAGCATCTAGTTCCATTTATGAATTTCGACAAAACAATAAGAAGACGTTGGCTATCTGAAAAGTGTAGTGAATTTCGCTCAGCAAATTTCGGACATGCTATTCACACACGTGCTTGTCATACACATTCGTGTAGAAAAGGACATGAATTATTACAATACAGGTCAAATTGGGTGCAGGTCAAGGTCACAAGTAAGGGGTAGGTAGATGACGTAGCAGTGTAAGGGGGTAAGAGAAAAAGAAGAGATAGAGTGCAAATATCATTAAGTAAATTGAACCTCGGTCCTAAATTGGATTACCACGGCAGGATCAAAGTAACAACGAATAGTTTTTGGACACACAGGACAGGTTTAGGCCGTTTTATGGCCAAGGCTTCAATGAGTTTAACTATGTGACCCAGCCTTGTTTTAAATATGGATTTAAAGGCATCATTGAATTGAATCTTGTGACCCATCTCTATGATGTGCTTCGCTATAAATTATGTTGGACATCTTTTTCTGGGATCAGTTCTATCCGGCGATTTTATTCGCTGTTGCAGCCACTGTAAATTATGTTCTGTAGCCCTAACCTGCAGAGACCGATAAGTCCTCCCTATGTACGTGTGTCCACACATACATGTAAATTGGTAAACACATTAGGATGTTATACTATCGTCCGGATGCTGTGAGGATTTACAAGACAGCATACATCCCGTTTTCTCTATGAAGATAAGTTTGGCTGCATAGTAAGTTCGATTAAGTGCCACCTTGAGTCTTTGTCTAGTGATCAGACTTTGCTGATCACCCCTGCACGTCAGGGATATATGAACATCCTTTTCAAGAGCTCCAAAATAGACATCCAACATCATCTATGGCGAAGCACATAATAGAGATGGGTCACAGGGTTGAATTCAGTAACACTTTTAAATCCATATATAAAACAAGGTAGGGACACATACCTTTCTATGAAATTCACTGAAAATTTTCTATGTATCTAAATGCACTTTTCACAATATAGCTATTACTACTGTTATTCTGCATCTGATCAACGCCTTCAACTTACAACTCCTTCCATTCATTCGAATACACTTGTTGTAAAGTATATGCAAACTGAATGGTTCAATGTGCGACTCGAACTGTTTTTCTAAAGACCATGAAAACTCTTCCGGCAATCAATATCATTGCACGTTATGATTTATGGCAAAAATAGAGTTATTTGTCAAAAATGCCAGAAAATACCTTTCATCTCGATAACAAACTACAATACTAGTAATCAATATTTTTGTGCGTCGGTGGCACAGCGGTTAGGACGCTCGCTGACCATGCACATGGTCCGGGCTTCGATCCCCGGCAGCAGACGCACTCCTTTACCTCGCTAAGCCAGTAATAAAAAAATCTGGTAAAGAGGAAAGGGTGGACATGAGGCTAGCAACTCCATCCTGTAAAAATAAATACTCTAGTTTGAGGCCACCCTATGTTCCGCTGGGAATGTGAAGGAATAAAAAAAATCAACATTTACCCGAAGTAGACTAATCTATAGTTAAGAAATCGCAATGAATAGTACCGTATGTACATTGGTGTATATATATTAACAGAAATATCCTGTTTGTTTTGCTAGATTTATTGGCGCAACATATGACCTTTCACCAGGTAATTTCTGAAAGACGCCGGGTTTTTGTGTCAAGTACAGTCATGAATGCATCTACGAGTTATGAGTAGATAAAACATTTGAAACCATGTTATATCACACACTAAGAAACATTAAAATTCACTACTGTCTATATCATTATGAGAAAACGTATGACAAACAACTTTAAAAATTACCATTTTTCTTTGTTCAATATTCCAGTTTGTTGTGAAGAAATTCTATGGTTGAATTATGAAAAGAAGTGAAAGCATCATGATTTAATCAAGCGATGTAAATGCATATTCTCATGTAATTTGTATAAATATTCCATATTTCTAATGATGATTCAAACTCTGTTTTAAACGTTTGTCATATCAATATATATATATATATATATTAATATCAATAAAAACCAATATACGTTAAATGATAGGCTGCTGTGTCTTGTCGATCATTTCTTAGCGTATAGACATTTTAACTCAAGAATAGATTTTTGATTTGCTTGAAGCAGACACATGTACCAACAAATAGAGGCCCAATTACACCCACGCACAAAAGTATATATATAAATAAGATAAAATGACAGTGGTCTGTAAAGTGTTTTATGTTACTAAACGAAAAGTGAGGGAAGTCAAATTCATTGTTAGTGTCATAAAATCAGCCTTGATTCAAAAATAACTTGACATCAAGTGAAAAAGTGGTTACAGCTTCATTCTGACGATAATTTTCTTCACATGTAGCCCCTTGCAACGGGATAATTGGTTTTAGAATATTCACACAAGTACTAGATAGTTCTCAAAATGATTTGACGGTAATGTTGAAGTTTGAATGTTAAACGCCTTGGATCGTGGTCTTCCCACATCATGTTAGTTTCTAGAAAGATATCTCAGTCGACGTTATATGTAAGGAAGTTTAGACAGTCTGGTATCACTAAATGTTTCTACTTTCTAAGTTTATTAATTATTGCATTCTACCTATGCTCCCCCTTAATCTTTTTGGGATTACTTAAAAAAAGACTTTGTTAAGTTGAGAAAGACGCTAAAAGCTGACGGTAGAGTGACTGGGGTATCACTAAACCAACTTGTTAATACTGCTGTAGGCGGACACATAGAATCACGCAAGAAATTAATAAATATTATTTTGTCTGGCCCTGAGCATCCCCTCTATAACCAACTCTACCCTCTTTCATCATCTCATCAGGTAGAACTAGAAGCAAATATAGAATACTTTACGCTAGGACGACTAAGTATAAAAACTCTACAATTCCCTGTTGGGCAAACATTTTATGTGATGACAAAAGTGTAAGCCAATGGCTCAATGGTCTACGAGCTAGCTGGTCTTGTAACCAGAAGGTCCTGGGTTCGAACTCCGCCAGGTGGGAGCGTGCTGTTGAAGAGCTTCAAACTAGTCTGACGGAACACCTGTCCAGTACTCCCAGCTGGTTTTCCAATGGTTCTCTAGCTGATGTCAGCTCATGATGAAATCCTCCAGCCAATCAAACAAAATCCCTACAAACCAATACTTGATAAATATAAATAAGGTTAGCAGTTTGAACAATTAATACATATATGAGAAACTTAAAACAACCACAGAAGCACAGAATCAATCAGACAGAAAAACTGATGTTAAAACCTCAAACTTTATACTTATCAAATAAAATGGACACTAAGAAAAAACCACAACGACAGCAGTAATTGATGAAATAATCAATAATAACATCAAATATTAGTTATTGAATTGTGAACAAAACACGTTGAAACAAGTTTTACTCACTGAAACAAATAACAATCAGATGCAAGCAAAAAAAAGAATAATTTAAGTAGTATTAGTTAATATATATTAGCAAGCATTTAAAAAGCTGCTTTTCAAGGTCATATAAAGATGTTAAGCATTCATTCCTTGGAATGGAGACTAAATGATGGTGATGATCATGATGATGACGAGAGAAATATTTTTACTGTTTACCTTTAACTGTTAAAACAGTTATTCCTTTTTATAAATTTTGATAGCATTATTAGAAGACGGAGATTATCTGAAAAATGTGATGTATTAGCACTATACATTTCACACAATCTGATCACACATTTACTTGTCAAGTCAATATATATGGAAAAGTTAATTTAAACAAGGTGACAAAAAAAAAGAATTAAGAATAATTAACACAAACGTTTGGTAATCCAATCAAATAAGGATTACCAAGGTAGATTAAGAGTAATAACAAACTGTTTTTGAATACACAAGGGGGCTTAAGTTTATGAATGGCTATAGCCTCAGCGTATTTCAGTAAACGTCCTTGACCGTTTTTATAGATGACCTTAAAGGCTGAGTTAACATCAACCTTATGGTTCATCTCGATTAAATGTTTAGCTATAGACGAAGTTGGTCGTCTATTGGACAGACTTAACTCTGTACAGAATCATATTAGTCTTACATGCGAGGAAGAAAGTCGCAACCAGCTCGCATTTTTAGACATACTTCTGAGTCGAAGAGACGATGGCTCAATAAGACGGTCTATCCACAGAAAGCCCACTTGGACAGGGCAATATCTTAATTTTCACAGCTTCTGTCCATTACAATATAAGAGAGGCTTGGTGAAGTGTCTATTTAAGAGGATTCAGCGTATTTGCACGGCTGATGTTATAGACAAGGAAAACGAAATATTGATGGATACTCTTGTTGAAAACGGATATCCTTTGAAGTTTTTAAACAGGTGTAGAAGTCAACTAGCCTCTAAACCTACAATCCATACCGTCCCTAAGAAAAAGGGTTGCAATAATGGGGAAATAAATAGTAGGATTTTGAGACAAAGGTTGAATTCCATCATCCGTAGAACCTACTATGCAGCCCAGCTTGTAATTGTCGAAAAGGCTAAAAATATGCTTCACTGGAAACCTCAAAAGTGCACAAGTGATTATATCACATCCCATACAATTTACCAATTTTCGTGTGTGTGTGGACATACATACATAGGGAGGAGTAATCGCGCGTTGCACGTGAGGGTGGGAGAGCATATCCCAAAGTGGTTAGGAAAACAGATGAATTGTGATAAGCCCATAGATGCAGGTGCCAGACTACCAACTTCGTCTATAGCTAAACATTTAATCGAGATGAACCATAAGGTTGATGTTAACTCAGCCTTTAAGGTCATCTATAAAAACGGTCAAGGACGTTTACTGAAATACGCTGAGGCTATAGCCATTCATAAACTTAAGCCCCCTTGTGTATTCAAAAACAGTTTGTTATTACTCTTAATCTACCTTGGTAATCCTTATTTGATTGGATTACCAAACGTTTGTGTTAATTATTCTTAATTCTTTTTTTTTGTCACCTTGTTTAAATTAACTTTTCCATATATATTGACTTGACAAGTAAATGTGTGATCAGATTGTTCGAAATGTATAGTGCTAATACATCACATTTTTCAGATAATCTCCGTCTTTTAACTGTTAAGACAAATTAGTCAAAGTGAGTAAAAAAGAAGCAAATTTATATTCCACCTTAACAGTGACATTGTCAAAATATGAATAAGGCATTTAGAAGACAAATTTCACGAGATGATGTCGTCATTTCGTAGTATCTTTACAATCGCTTTACAACTAGAAACATGGTTCAGAATTTAACTGGTGGATGGTGACTAGCAGTGGAATCCAGGATAACGCGCACTTCGTCCTATTTGGCACTCGTCATCTGGATGTACCTGCATTCCCCAGTGAGTGGTGATGTTCCCACTGAGGCTCGAACCCAGTGCCCATAGTTTCAAACGTCAAAGCGTTATCCACTAGACCACTTGGGCCACGAGAGCCACTATCTCTTGTGCAATATGGTTCACAATAATAAAATGCATGACAATTACTCAGTTATATAAAACAAAAGTACATTCTAATGAACAATTATATTTAAATAGGTAAAGTAGTCAGTTCATGGCTGGCAAAGGTTGAAGTCTATTGTGTTTTTTGTACACACAGTTTAGGACGTATGTGATTAATTCAAAGTGCTTCCATCATCTTTAATAACCAACCTTGAATTAGAGATATGTGATGAGATAATTACGAAGCAGTCATTAATATTGATTTTGCGACCTGACATTAATAAGTACTTTGCAATGGATGATGATGGATTTCTATTCAGATTAATTGTGTAAGTATAAAACTTGGGCACTGTGGTAGAGCATAACTCCATTATGGATAAGATTTTATTTTGATAAATCACACAGTGTTGTACAGTAATATTAACTGATGACGTTTCGAGCACAAACTCATATCATGATTATGAGTAATAGTGTGTGTGATTTATCAAAATAAAATCAGATTAATTGTATTTGGATTTTCTATATGTTTTAGTAACCATTTTGGAACATGTTCTTTTGGATGACATTGGAACATTCTATTTGTTCTACCTGTATAGGTGTCACCGCAACTGCAGGTGAACTTGTAGACACAGTTTGAAGTAGAGTTCACAGCATTTCGTCCTTTAATCAAAAATGTTCGGCATGTGAGGGAAGAAGGTGTGGCGCAGAACGTGACCTTGATGGCTGACCGAAGTGTCTGAGCTGTCCAATGCATTACTAGGAGAGACGATGTAACGATTAAGCTATCTGTATTTCGTAAATAGACATGGAGTGGACAATATCTTCCTTTCACAAGTTTTGTTCCCATCCAGTATAAACGTTCTCTAGTGAAATGTTTGTTCTCAAGGGCCAACAAAATATGTATGAACGACACATGCTGATGACCAGCCATATTTATTTAATCAAATAAAGTATAATTATATTTCAATGGTTTACACACAATGTCAAGTTTTGTTATTGGTAATATTTCGAGCAAAATTACTGCTGTATTCACTCTACTGTTGTATTGTTTTTTTAGTACATGTGGTCATATGTTTCTATCAACAGAAAAATGTTAAGACTTAACTGGGAAATTTAACCACGTCCTTCTAAAAAGCATAATAATAATAACACCTTTATTCTACACAATATGCACAATATTCAGCGTAATTTATTGCATAATATTTTCTCTTCATCCAGGAGTTTCAAGTAAAACAACCATCTCCAATGCATCATGTGACGCAATGCTGTTCGATCTGAAGAATAAAATAATCCACTACAGCAATTTTACTTTGATCCCTCAGAAATGAACAGCGATAGGTTGCGAACCAATTGAAATTGTGCATAAGGATCTGGACTTCACCGATGATATATATCTGATTTCCCACAAACTGGAAGATATGCAAGTGAAAAGCTACAAGTTGACAGAGGAAAAAGCATCAAAGGTAGGACTTCCTTCAGATGAAAATATAGAAAACAGAGGTGATGAAGATTCCTGGCCAACAGCAACAGCGACAACAACAACAACAGACAACAATCAGCCAGCATGAAT